TGAACACACAGAGTCTCTCTCTCTCTGTCTCTCTCTCTCTGTCTCTCTCTCTCTCTCTCTCTCTCTCTCTCTCTCTCTCTCTCTCCGTCGTGTCTCAGGGATTCCCCCGCCGGCTGCTGATGTGGCAGTGATGTCCCTCGTGCCTGTCTTTGCTCCCCAGTCTGCGCAACAGAGAACGAGCTTGTGCCCGTCGATCAATAGGCGGCAAATGTGCCGCTGGGGTGCAATGACCATCCGGGCCAGGTCCAGTCCTCATCCTCACGCGACGACCTCCGCCGTCATCTTCGTCAGCCGTACGGATCCTCGGGACGTAATCGGAGTCATCAGGATCGTCGACGCCTGTGGTCTTACCGCCCTCAGCGGCTGTGGAGCTGTCGTCGTGGAGGATGATCGTGCCGCCTCGTCTCTTCTCACCTCGACCTGCTTCGTCCACTCTGTCACCTCCCTCCGCCCCCCCCTGTCCATCTGCGGCAGCTGGCATCTGTCTGGTCTCGTCCCTGTTGCGGAAAAAAGGATGCAGGCGGCGCCGGTGATACGGAATCGACACACCTGTTCCCTTCTTCCTCGCCCGTGACAGCCTCGCAGTTGCCGTCCTGGTGTCGTTGACATCGCTCGTCTTGGCCCGTATAGGCCTCCCATGCTGCTCCTCGTAAGCTCTCATGGAATCATGATAAGTGCCATCGACGTTGCCGATCGATCGCGCCCCCGCGGGCACATCTGCCGGTCCATATGTTGATGTTTGTCCGATATCGCCCGCCCTCCGGTCCATGCCCGCACCATCGTAGAAAGACCTCGTGGGCAATGCGCTCAGCGCGGCCTGCCCGTGGGCGGCAGGATCAGCGGCAGAGGGGCGTGAGGGTGGTGGACACATAATGTCACGCACCCCCGTCAAATGCGGTCGAGGCTCATCTGTGTGCCCGTCCCCAACGTCATGTGTGCTGGGCCTGACAATGCTGGGGTGTGCGGTTGATGACCCTCTGCGCTCGATGCCCCCCCTGAAGGACCGTCCACCATCTGCGCTCCCTGGCTGCGCTATATCCTCGCTCACGCCCTCGCCTCCGTCCGAGCGGATAACTCCGGGAGGCCTCGCCTCTAAAGTCTCCGCTGRCCCTCGATGTGGCTCTTGCTGCGGGCCCTCCTCTGGTGGATGGACTGATGACACGCCGTCCGATAACAGCTGCGAACCATGACCCCCCTGCGCCAAAAAATCTCCAGACGCTGCCTCTAGTGAACCTTCCAGACTACGTTGAGCTGCAACATGCGGTCCACCACGACGGTTCCGTGCTACCTCCTCCGCCAACCCCTGCTCCACCGCCCACGGTGCACCGACATGAAAAATGGCGGGAGTGTCGGACTCTGGAGGATGCAGTATCGTGTCGCCGCCGAACTCGTCGAACCCTCTGTCACGACGCGCGTCATCTCGTCTAGCAGGCTCCGGTGGTGCCACAACCGGCAAAGTGGGAGATATCAGTAGCGATATATCAGGCAGAGATGCCAAGGCGGAATCCATGGTGAATAGCTCGTCGGTGGGCGAAAGACTGTCGGGCGGGCAGTCGAGGCCAACGTGGTGGTCCGTCGGAGGATGTTCGTCCTCCCCGTCCTTTCCACAAGTGGGAGTGGGTGCAACCTCTCCCTCCTCTAGACCGTCGTCACTCGTGTGAGGAGGCGGCTCACGTCGTGCCTCGCCGTCCTCCAAACCCGCTCCTGTGGAGTGGACTGGGGCGCCTGCTGGAGTGCACCGAGTCTGCGCCTGGCGGAGTGGACCGGGTCCTCCGAACTCCGTCTCCTCCTCTGTGCCAACAACCGGCGCTGGCGACCGGGGATGAGTGATCCTGAACCTTGTATCCTCCTCCGTCACTATCATATCAGTGTTCGAGGCTAGCTCCTCTGCATGAACCGGGTCGCGCTGCGTCTCGTTGGAAGGATCTCCCATCTCGTCCTCTGACACGGCAACCGGGTCCTGCCGCATATCACGTGCCCCCGTGTCGATCGCAATGTGGACACGACGTCTGCGTACACGAGACGCAATACTGTCATCCTGCCTACCCCCGTGTCTCAACCGCTTCAAAACGTAGCGACCACGAGGCATAAAATCGCCGTCCACACGCTCGTCAACCCTATCGCCACGGCACCCGCTCCGTCCACCATCACCCCCCCCCTCACCGCCTCCACCATCTCC